AGCAGGGGGCCGGAGAAGGGGCCAGGCGAGGGGGCAGCAGAGAGTGGCAAGGAAGCCAATGGAAGACAGGAGAAGGGGCCACCAGAGAACAGCAAGGAACAGCAGGGAACAGCAGGGGGTTGGGCTGAGACACTTCTGAGAGACGTGATAATGGAAAATCAGAGGATCCTCTCCGCAAAGATAATGGGGGACTTGGAAGCGACCAAGGCTACCAAGAATGTGGAAGCGGAACAGTTAAAAGTGAAGGCGAAAGAGTTGGCAGTACGGAACACGCTCATAAAGCGCACATGGGGATATTACAATGACGAGGTCTGCCCCCAGATCGTGAAGAGACTTCGAGAAAGGAGGGAGAAGAAAGGTGGTGATCTCACTGTTGAAGAGGAGGACGCCGTGAGGAGAGAGACGCTGAGGAGATTCATGACTTCGGAACAGATCAACTTCATCTTCCCTCAGGCAGGTAACACAAACTGTCTCTAGCATCTCTGTGCGATATAGGCCCCTGACTGTCTCTAGCACCTCTATGCGATATAGGCTCCTGATGTCCATCATACTTGCTGTCGTCTTGCTTTGCTTAGTCGGTTCTTGCTCTGTCTACAGGCGCCACTCACGCTGGGACATAGAGACATTCTCTTCGTCGAAGCACCGCGCCCGCAGCAACTTCTAATCAGGGTACGTAGGTTGTTCCAGAACACCCCTACTCCATGCAGATAGACCTTAGCTGGCATCTAAAGTGTGGAAATATGTCATTCAAATCAGTGAATCTGTCTTGAACCTCTATTTTCGTCTTCCGACTTATCTCATTGCTTATGGATGCAGGAGATGACGCCGGAAGTACACGGTGAGCAGGCGGCGGAGCAGGATGTTCAGAATGAGCAGGAGGCGGAGCAGGGTGAGCAGGGTGAGCAGGAGGGTGAGCAGGAGGCGGAGCAGGGTGAGCAGGGTGAGCAGGAGGGTGAGCAGGAGGCGGAGCAGGGTGAGCAGGGTGAGCAGGGTGAGCAGGAGCAGGGTGAGCAGGGTGAGCAGGAGGCGGAGCAGGCGGCGGAGCAGGGGGAGGAGGCGGCGGAGCAGGGTGAGCAGGAGGCGGAGCAGGATGTTCAGGGTGAGCAGGAGGCGGAGCAGGGAGTGCAGGATGTTCAGGGTGAGCAGGCGGCGGAGGAGGGTGAGCAGGCGGTGGAGCAGGGTGAGCAGGGTGAGCAGGAAGGTGAGCAGGAGGGTGAGCAGGGTGAGCAGGAGGCGGAGCGTGAAGTACCCACTGAGTTCAAGTCGGCGGGGTCAGGATACGATTTTTCAGCAGTGCAATCAGAGACATCTACGGGGGCTAGAGCAGAGCAGACACTTTTACCAGTAGAGGACGTAGAGCGAGAGGTCAGATCGGAGCAGCAACTGGAACATCGATTGGAGGGTGACGAGCAGAGGAAAGAGAGAGAGGTTGCGGAGGCGATCCAGTCACTGGGTGATAGACAAGTGGATCGTTCACGTCTGTTGCGTTTGGTAGAAGAGTACAAGGCGAGGGCTTGTGGTGGTGAAGTCACATGCCCTGCAGAGTGTCCGCCTGGAACGATAGGCAAACAGGCGACCAAACATAATAAAACACAGATGCATAGATTCTTTGTGTACAAAAAATTGGAAAGTCAATATCCCTTTTGGAAGGAAGAATTTCTTCAAGTCTTAGGAATAACGAAGAATGGGTTGTAAAAACAAGAATATTAGTGCCCATCCGTCACAATAACATTGACCAGTCTTCTTTCATCATCTACAGAGTGAGAATGACGTAGCCATGTACTGCATGAGAGCAAAGCATCTTTTAGCGTCCGTGATTTTTACGCATGGTAGCGAATGGAGAACATGATGCAGAATGCGATGGTATTTCCATTGATGGGATACTCTAGGAGCGGTATTTACCCGGCCGGCTCGGGCATCATGTATGCGAACGTGTTGAACATCAAGCGCTGCGTAACTTCCATATCAGACCCGCTGAGCAAGCACACAGATTGACCAGGACGAAATTGCTCGTCTTACTTCCTTCGCGTATGTCCATCAACATGTCAAAGACAGACAATGCGAACAGGAACATGAGTCCCCTCGGATACGCATGGTAGAGGATGGCGAACACTATGCAGAATGCGATGGCATGTCCGTTGATGGGATACTCTATGAGCGGTATCTGCCCGGCCGGCTCGGACATCATGTATGCGAACGTGGTGCCCTGTTCGTTCATGGGGATGCGATCGAACAGTACGTTCAAGAGATAGGGCGGCTTGGCTGCTATCTGCGATACGGAGACGCGTTGATCTTGAAACACTATGGGCGGATTTGCAGAGTACACTCGCATGTCTCCCCTATCCAGCGTCAGGGCTATATCTACGTGGAAGCTCGCTCTCTCGAACCTGTCCAGAAGTATCTCAGCTCCCTTCCTGGACAGGACGTATGCGTGGAGGCCCGTGGTGAATCCAGGGATGCTGAGGTGCTCGGAGAAATGTACCGCCCGATCTGGCCAACCTCGCGAGAGGACGGTCGCCCATCCGGTCTCGAACGCCGTGACCGAGTCGTCCGGGTTGCAGAACTGAAAGCATCCCAATAGCAGCATGTCGAAGTCTTCCGGCAATTCCAGGGTTATGTCTTTGATGATGTCGCGAAAGTCTGGCCCGAATTCGGCGTCGTCTTCCAGGATGAGGGCGCTACTCAGGTCTCTCTCCACGATCTGCCTCTTAAGCGTTGCGGTGCGACAAGAAGCACCCTATGGTGGCGGGGGTACAGAAGGCCGCGCACATGCCAGTCGAGTCGCGTCGGACGAGCCCCGCTGACATCTCGGACCCGTCCACCCCATCCAGCCGGCGCGCCGACATGCCCATCTTACCCAGCTTGGAGCGCATGTCGGCCCATCTATCTCTGGAACGCCGGAGGTTCAGGACGAAGACCTCTTCCCATGGTACGTTCATGCTGTTGCTATTGAGTCTTGGAAATTTTTGTCGCAATATAGGCAGCGATCTGAGCTCGATCGTGGGCATATCGAGATGTCTTCTCCGTGGCCCCTTAGAAGCGACGCCGCGTGTTGGTGGTGTTGTCACCAGTTCGACACCATACCGATACCCCTGCCGGTACACTACGACGAAGCGCGGAACGTCTTTCAATGCATGGGGACCTTTTGCTCGTTCGGCTGTGCAAAGGCTTTCAATCTCAGTCGAAACAGCGTCAAGAGAGACAGGACGTGTACCCTACTCACGTTGTTTCGTAACAAGGTTATCAAGAAAGATGCCTCCTACCCGTTGTGGAATTCACCTGACTCTTTCGGCATAAGGGCGGCGGGTGACAGATACTCGCTGCGCTTGTTTGGGGGGCCGAAGAGCATAGAAGAGTTCCGCGAGGGGATGGACGTGCTGGTCCACGAGTCCGAGGCAGACGCCCTCTCGAACGTTTCCGTGCAGAGATCTAGAGAGGTGGGCGTCATCTATCAGCCGGATCTGGGCCTCGAGAATCGCCAAAAGTCCTTCCTCGAAGGTCACGACGAGTACGACACGACGGAAGCTTTCGAGACCATCACGAGCGAAGGTCATACTAGAAGAGGTAGAAAACGAAAGGGCGAAGCTCCGGAAGCTAGCACTAAGAGGGGTACTGCGCTGCTCGCTATAGACGAGAAGAAGGAAGCTCAGATACTGTCTGATATCAGGGAGGGTACGGCCATAAAGAACCAGCCTTACAAGTTGAAGAGATCCCTGCCGCTCCCCAGAGAGAACAGCACTCTCTTCTCGACGATGAAGATCGAGATCCAACCGAGACCATGACCATCCATTGCCAATAGTTGTCGAGACCTAAGCAATCCGTTCCAAGATTTGCCACCGCCTTTACAACAAATCTCGCTGCGGATCAGGACCCCAAGAGATGGTGCGTCGACTTAGGGCACCCATCGAATACGTAGAAATCAAACCACGGCATGATGATGCTCACGGCGAGCTCCGAGCGCGTTCGGCAAGCAGCGGCGAGATGCTCGCGCGATCTATGGCCGCATCAGCTTGCGATTATACACCGCTGTATGAAGCTCGAGTATGAGGGGTGCGTGTTTGGGACCCTATGCGACTCGCCTGGAGTTGGTAAGACGCATGCCGTACTAGGGCTGGTGGCCGCGTCGTCCGGCAAAGGCTTGACCGTGATCACAGTACCACATAACTTGTTCTCGCAGTGGTTACTCGCGCTAGCAGAATTTGAGCTAAAGGCGCTGACCATCGTGAA